TCTCAGATTGAAACTGGTTTGCCACTATTGTTATTTAAAGATGCATGTAATGCTAAAAGCAACGAATCTCATTTGGGAACAATCCAATGTGCTGGTAGAAATGGAGATACTGTACAATTTACTGCATCTGATGAAGTAACCTTACATATTTTATATATAGTATTACTATAATATACTATATAGCATAAAAATTAAAAAGACATATTCATAAATATTTATCATTTTATATATTAAATACAGTAATATTTATGTTTATAAAAAATTTAATTTCAATAATATTCAATAGGTGGCCACATGCACTACTGCTTCAATTTCAGTAGATATGTTTTTAACGTCAGAAAATATTTTTGATTTTTCCAAACTTAAGGAAACAGCAAAGAAATTAACTTATGATTTGAATAAAATTATTAATAACAATAATGATATACCAAACAAGGTAAAATTCTATACTTTATCATAATATTCCACTAAACAAGTGTTTAATAACTTTCCTTTAGGAAAAACAATTGAAATTGGGCTTAAAACAAAATCAATTGGCCATTGGAATTGGTGTCCAAGGATTAGCAGATTTGTTTATTAAAATGAAATATCCTTTTGATAATAAAGAAGCTAGAGTTCTTAACAAACAAATTCACGAAACTATTTATTATGGTGCTTTAGAAGCAAGTTGTGAACTAGCTACTACAAATGGACCGTATAAGACATATCCAAATAGTCCGACAAGTAAAGGAGTAAGAAAACTATTATTAAATATTTAATATTTGTACATAAACTTATTGATTTTGTTTATGCAGTTATTACAATTTGATCTGTGGAATGTAAAACCTTCTAATTTATGGGATTGGAATAGTCTAAAAACAAAAATTACGCAACATGGATTACGGAATTCTCTGGTGACAGTTATTTCAAATACTGAAGTTGAGTCAAACATTTTGGGAAAAGTGAATTCTATTGAACCATTAGACACTAATATTAAAGTTAGGTATATTTCATTGGGTGAAAGTAAACCAAAAGAAATTCAGGTAATTTTAATTTACTTAATTTAAGTTTTTCATTTTATTTTTAAAAAATGTTTGTGTTTAAGGTTGTCAATCCACATCTATTAAAAGATTTGCACGATCGTAAACTTTGGGATGATAATTTAAAACATCAATTGTTGAATAATATGGGTTCAGTACAGGTAGGTAATTTATTAGATATTAGATATCAGACATTTAGCCCTAATGTATTTATGTGCTTAGGAAATTAAAGGCGTGCCAGAAGATTTAAAACAACTGTACAAAACAAAATGGGAAATTGATCAAAAAGATTTAATAATTATGGCTGCTGACCGTGCTCCATTTATTGACCAATCACAAGCTTTTTCTCTTAATATGGTTGAAGCAAACGAAGATATAATTTCTGAAATGCACATATCAACCTGGAAAATGGTAACCTTAGTAATTTTAAAACATTTAGGAGAAAGCTCTTGTATGTATTTTTTAATGTGTTTAAGGGCTTGAAAACTGGGGTATGTCAACTAAGGATTAAGCAAACTGAAGAGCATCTACGAGATTAATAATTACAGTAAATATTATGTTTTTAGATTCTGAGAGGCACGATGATTGTACCGATATTAAATTCATGTGTGTTTTTATTTTTTATTTTACATTATTATATTTTTATGGGCATTTAAATTTCCAATTTTTACAACATTAGATATTCACTTGATTTCTCATAAAGCGCTTTTCTTATTTTGTTGTAAATTATTCGAAAACTAATAATAAACGAAATTTTTATCATATATGTATTTTATCAATTCCTAAACTAGCTAAAATGTTTAAAATATTTTGACTCGCTTTGAGGTGTTAACATACATTATCAATTTAAATTTGTATAGTTTTTTTTTTCTATTAATATCAATAAAATTGTTTTCATTGGGTCAAAAAGTGTGAAAACTTAATATAAGGCTCTTGATATATTATTACAATAGCAGTTGAAAATTATTAAAAATACATATTATACACCATTTTTTTTTTTATAATCATTTATAGTATAGTAAATAAGTAATAGGACTCAGCTCGTTAATAAATAAATATAAAATATAACTATAAAAGTTTAAATTTTAAAAAAATCACAAAAATGTGCATTGAATAGTATCTGTATAATATAATAATAATTTTAAATATACAGTATAGTACAGACATACAGTGTAAAATATACAAAATTATAATATTTGATATATAGATTTACAATAAATAGTTTAAATTTAAATATAATAATAATAATAATAATAATGACACTGTTTAACACTTTAACTATAATAGCCTATATTATATTAGTGGTGTTCAATATATTATTATACAATATAAAAACTTATATAAATACTGTTTTATTTTACGGCTGTGTTACGCAAAAATCTTACAAACTATTAAATGTTATATGCATTATTATTTATTATATACCAAAATATTTTTACTTTTTTGAGATGTTGTACATGAATATTGTAAAAATATAAATTACACTTATTTAAACGTGGTGTGTGAAGAAAATTATTATTGAATTAACCAATAGTGTTAAACAGTTAACTAATTAACATAATATAGTCATAGTTGTCTATCATAAACTAATGTTTAAACTTATACTATATATTAATAATATACAATATTATATTATTATATACTCATCAATTGAGATTGACTACCTATTTTACATAATATTAAACATTATAAATTATTATATTTGTATAAAAGTAGATCAATTATATTAATAGTTTAATGTAATTAGTTATTAATTATTATGTTAGAAATATAAATGTTTTTTGTTGTTGAATGCAAGGAACCAACAATATCGCAATTTACACAATCGGTATCTTAATAATAGGTTATAAATAATACACAATACTTTGGTACGATATAAAACTCAATTAAGTTTAAAAAAAATGTCTGATATATGATTATACCAAATAAATATGTATCATAATATGTACTTAGAACAAAATAAATCTGCTTTTATACAACAATTCAGTCATTAGTAATAATTAAAGACCGGATTTATATGTTTTTACATATCGTTACTGGGTCTATGCAGTCTTATGAGAGTAAAAAATGTGGACGATTCGTTCAATTCTGAATGCGTAGAAAAAAGTTTTTTTTGCATATTTGAGAATATTTCATGGGTTGGAGAATATTCAACCAATTTAGCATATTTTGGAATATTTCATAAATTGTGAGCAAAAATTTGTATTTATTTTTAATTTTAATATTACGGTACTCTGAAAAATTTTTTTTGACCATTTACAATTTATTTATTTATTTTTTCATTTTGATAAAAATAAAACAATCAGTATTATCAAGGTTTATCTATGTATATCTACTGATAAGATCAACTTATAAGTTTATCCACAGATATATACAATATATAATTATTGTATATATCTGTGAGTTTATCAAATATTCAAATATCAAAATTTTGTTTTTGTGTTTTAATATTATACTGTTATATTTATATTATATTCCAACTTAATACTCTTGCTAAAATGCAATACTATTCCATTAGGTATAATACGCAACTCTTAATACCTAATTAATATCTCACTATAAAAATATAGTTGAAAAAAAATTTTAAAAAATAAATGCATATTAAAGCATATAATTATGTTTTTTTAATTATGTTTGCATATTTTAGCATATTTTTTAAATTTTTGAGAGAATATAATGAGAATATTTGAAGGGTTTTATAAAGAATATTAGCATCATATTTTGGGTATTTTAAGAGAATATAAATCTGGTCTTTAGTAATAATTGTATGTGTTAATTAAGTATGCATTATATTGGTATGATAGGTAGTAATTTGTTTTGCATTTCACAATATAACTTCAGCAATATTTATACGGGATAAATATTTAAATTTTAATGACATTGAATCTAAATAGTAAAGTTTAATGATTTATTTTCATTGTTAATTATTCAAATAATGAATTGGTATATGTAAGATCGTTTATTTAAGTTAAACAAGTTGACATGTAGGATGCAGAGTCTAGGAGAATAATAATGAATAATAAATTAACAATCTTATATAATGCTTACCTGCAACTACCTAAACACATAAATAATACATAAGTATATTAATGTTATTAATTTTTGTCTTACTAGTTACTATGTTAAGACTCAAAAAAGACATAATCTAAATACCCCTGCCTAATAAATATACTGAGTAAAGTTGTACACAATATGATTTAGAATTTATGTCATAATATTATACTCTGTTGCAAACTTTATTGAATTCATGTTTTGATATTTGGTAATATATAGGACATATTGAAAAAATATAGGATGTGGCCTCAGGTACGGTTGTGAAATTGTATTTGTATATTATAATAATATAATATAATATATTAAAAATTTAAATATTTTTAAATTCGGCGGGCAGTGATAAATATTATTTGTTGTATATTCCAAGCCAAATTGATATGATATTTTTCATCTACGAAAGTGATATAAACCGTTTTTATTTACTGTCTTTTGCATAAAGTAATATAGAGAGGCCGTTTAAACTGAATAGTGTTGCGGAAACTGGGGATGATAATCAGTGTCACAACCAATAAAATACAAAAAATTGTACTTGTCATTTTGTAACATAATTCAAGCCTACCATAATGTTACTATGTGCTTACAATATTACAATAAATTATGAAACAAAATAGGTCAGGAATAATTTAAGATCCTATCTACTCTTTCTATCTATTCTGTTTTACTGTGTATTAGAAATATTTAATATCTACTTATATATTAAATTTCAAATGCAATTATAAAATTGCCGATCGGCGTTTATAAATAAATACAAATACAAAATATTCAAACTATAAAATATTTACTAACTTTTTTAACCATACCTATATATAATATAATGTGTTTATTAGTTGATATTATTTTTATACAAAATGCACAAAATGTATTATTTATTATTTTTATACAAAATTTTTATACAACATTTTACAAAGAAAAGAAAGTTATTGACATTTAAAATTCGTGAGTTTGTTTTTTATTATATGATAGTTTCAGATCATTTTCCGTCTTGTCTATGAAAGTCAAAAATGAGTTACATTTCTTGCACATATGATCAGCAGGGGTTACAATAACCACAGCATCATATCCTAAGAGCTCAGCAATTTTTTCTGTGTAAGTTACATTACTATGTGTTGTAATGCTTGAACACACCCGTGTACGTTCACCATACAATTTTGTATCACATACAAAACAGACACCCATTGTATCTAGAAAATAAATATTGCAATATTCTAAGTTATAACTGATAATTAAAATAACAATAACTAATAGAATATTAAAAATACTATTAGAACTAAAATATACATTATACATTGTACTTTATAATAGTTATTAACCATCAATGTTCAACCATACAATCTAAATCAATCATCATACTAAATAACAAACAAAAATGATATAGGTATGTTCCTATTTTTAAGGCTTTGTGTAGATTAATTTGTGATGTATTACTGGGCTAGAGGCTAAAATAAGTTAAGATTATGAAATGTATAACAAAATTTAGGGGGGCAAATTTTTTAATTTTTGATTTCAATAGTTTTTTACATGGTTTTAAATCATAATCAACAATATTATTAATTTTCCAGGAATTGTAAAAATAAAATTAATTATGACTTATAAGTAAACTAGGTACCTAGGTATACCTAGGGCTAAGATAATATTCAAAAATATTATTTGACATATTTTTATAACTGAAATACTGTTACTCATGCACGCATGTATAATTGGTAGATTTGACATAGTCAATACAGTGATGAAAATATTTGAAATAACGAGTACCTATTGTAATTTTGTCACTTTTAAATAGTAATTTACCTAACACTGTTCCTTACAATATTGGTTTTTCATTGAATTTCAAGTAGGTATATACCTACTGCATACAATACTTATAAGATACTGTATATAGTAGCCAGTAGGTAGGTACCTTTACTAATTACTTATCTGATATAATATTAATTTTTAAATTTAGATAGGTATTTCATTTTATTATTATCAAACAATAAATAGGTGGACAATGATAGTTCGTAATATGATGATGAGGAATATATGATGATTTTAGATTTAAAAAGAAAAAAATTTACGAATTCTTAACTCAGAATAATTTGCTAATTTTCGTGATTTTTCCATATTTTGTCAATTTTTGAACTTTAAATGCTTATAAAAAAAAACTGTGACTAACGATTTTTAATATTTTTCATCTGTCTTTGAAACAATATACTAGGAGCCTTCTATTAAATTTTCAAGTTTTTTTAACCAACAAATAACATTTTATTGATATTTCTAGAAAAAAAACTAAAAAAAAATGAAAAAAGAAAATGTCCCTAAACTGTTCAAAATAAATCAAAATATTTTGAAAATGTTATCGTGTATACAAAATGCAAATATAAACAACCACTGAAAATTTCATGTATCTACGGTCATTTGTTTTAAAGTTACACCAAAAACCAAATTCAATTTTCTGAAAAATCGATTTTGCGTAAAAATTCCCGTTTTTCTTTAATTTTTCTTTTGTTTTTCTTGGCGCTTTTGAAAAGTACTGGGAATTTTAAATTTTGACCTCCTCAATGCACCAACGATATTCACTTTCCAATCGAACAAGATACTGAAGTCGAAAATCGAAGCATTATTTCGACTACTTATCGTTTACACAGACACAAAAAAAATTTAAAAATTTAAAAAAAAACACACATCATTGTAAAATCAATATATTCATCTTTTCACTCAGAATCTAAAAATCAAAAATACTTAATAATACAAATGGGAAATTTAACGCTCAGCAGGAATTTACGTCTCATAAAATTTAAATGTAAGATGATTATCTATGCTTTTAATTATTTTTTAATTTTAAAGCGAGGTATGAGTATTTTAAGATGTACAACTATCTAGGTACAACTAAATAATTATTTGCTTTTTGGATTTATTTTTCCAATTACCGCTACTACTTATTTATGGTACCTTACCTAGCTGCTCTGCGCTGAGACAAAAAAAAAATCGAAAATTTTACTCGACTTGCTTTATAACACTATAATAGACAACGACAGTCTTCTTACCAAATATATTTCCTATCATATTTTTAGTTAGAATTTTGACAATTATTGTAAATTTGTATTACTCTTCTAGTTTAAACTTACAATTTGTTACCTTCATTCGTAGGTATTTATCTACTGAAATTATTCACTTTACTATATTACTAATGTGCCTTTATTTGTTAGTTTTTAATAATGATCAAACAAGAGTTTACTCAGTCTATCTATGATAAACTTACTGCTTCACTACAGTTAGAAGTAGAAAGTTACATGACTGGGTATGTACTCTAATTATTATTAATTACGACTTTTACCATTATACAGTGACCCACTTGTAACCTACTTTACAGCAGAGCACCTTAATTAAATTAAAAATAAAAACATGTTTTTTTTGTACAGAGTGTTTTTTATTAGACTCTATTCAGAGGCAGAATGTTGCTTTTATAGATTATGAGATGTAGTGGGGGAACCAAGTGCAATTCTGCAGTGTCAACCAAGTTTTTACTTTTTTGTTTCGCCTACAATAGCTACAACTTTTTAAGTTTGTCGTGTCAACGACTGAATAAGCTTGAAATATTTAATTTTATAAATTTTATAAAATTATAACACCAACAGTAACATTTTATCTATTAAAAAATGATGTATATGATAGCTTAAAATTACATAACAATTAATTAAAATGAATGCTGTAAGATTAAGATTTAACTATGACGCGGTCCCGCGCAATGGCAGTTTGAATTCAAACAGCCTTTGCGCGGAAGCCGCACTGTGGCTCCTCAAACAATCCGCCAATCGACGACGGACGACGCCGGCGCGCGACACATGCGCCAGGAACCGTCGGCGGGCCGTTCGGTGAACCGGCTTGTAGAAGGAACTAGTTCTCCACGACCCGCAACACCTGGACACCACGAACGTCCCCGCGTGTTCTGTCGACACCACACCCCGACCGACGGACAACCCGATACCGGTACACATTTTGTTTATATTATACTTAGAAGGTATAATAAGATCAAAAATAAAAAATCAACTGAACGGCACCAGTGAGTTTTACTTTTTTTCTCCCCTCAATCCAATTGGCTACCACATCATCCCCACGGCACACCACAGGACAGCATCAACTAACTATAATATTATGTAAGTATAATTCATAAATATTTGTACATTCCTTGTCTATATAAAAGAAAATATGTCACAAAAATACTTTATAACTAATAGGATAGTAAGACAACAAATGTTAACCTTCAGTTAAATACTAGGTATAGCTTTTTGGGATATTTTTGAGGGGATTTTTTTTCCTAGATTCTTAGCAGCCTAGTCGCGTTGCGTACGAATTAACAGAAATTCTGTTTTGTCTGTCGTTTTTTGTTTCTCCGATTTCATTATTTTTTTTTAAACCTAACATCCGAGTGTGCTGACTGCGTTCGGTCGATGTTCGTTTTTTCCGTCGTGTCGTCACTCTTTCACATTTTTTACTTTTCAAAAAGTGATTGCAAACATGATAAATTGACGAGTCCCGTCGTCGGCGTTTGTGTCTGTGAGTAATTCCCGCGTTCGAAGTTTGGCCGTTGGCGACGCTCCGCCTCTGGTATTTTGTCCCTCGAAATCCGCCACCGCCGCGTCCGTGGTCGAGGCACTGTTACCACCCGACATACCGCTCGATAGCACTGTAAAATACTGTTGACCGTGGTTATGGTTGTTTTTCATGATGTTGACGGACGGACGCCATATTCTCATTAGTTATTGTGCCAATTCGCAGCGTCGAAGACCATGACCACAGACAACATAGGATACTAAATACAAACAACAAAGGTAACAACAATTATGGCATAAGAAATATTATTCCTTAATCCTTGTACTATGATAACAACTGCGGCTCGTCTGTCGTGTTTTGTTTCACCGGTTTAATTTTTTTTACCGTATCGTAAAGTAATGGCCGCCGTCCGGCGATTCTCTCGTTCACGTAGTCCGTATGTGCTTGCCTAGGTGTTTGTTTTTATTTCAAGCGACGGAATTTTTTCTCGCTATTCGCATACAACAACATAGCTATTTTGAGTGTACAACGCTTAATTCAACTGCCCACTTTTCATTTTCATCGCAAGTAATTATTCGTTTGTTTATTTTGTGTATTAATTATGTAGATCATATTTTATTCACTATTTTGTAGGTGATAGGCGTTAAGATCACCCTACACGGTGTGTAATAATATTACTAAGACAATAGGATCGTATTTATAGTCGATGCTTAAGAATAAGTATTGCTTAGGCTAATTTTGATAATTTCAAAAATACAAATTTGACTTTATGACTAAAAGCAATACTTGAATAGGTATTGTCAAACCTTAATTTAAGTAAACTTTTTCTTTTCTCGACCCAACGTGTGATTTTAGGAAGGAAACTGATATGAGTCATGCGTATATTTCAACTCTCAAGCAATATTTTCTATTCTATACTCATGACTACATCCCTTGAGATTTGGTTGTGGCGGGCAAAGGTTGATTTAGGCCATCGTCTTAAGAGAATCTATTGTTTTTTTTCCCAAAGTATGGTAACAAGGTTTGCGGGACCTGTTGCACAATAATTTTTTTTATATGACAGGATTCTCTTCTTAAACGCTTAACAAAATACACAAAATGGCTATTGGCACATGGTTTGGTTAATACTAGGGGCCCTCGATAATAGCTTAAATAATATAGTTTAATGAATAAGTCTCGCTGATTTCATGAATTTGTTACACTTACTGGTCTACCTGTTGGTAACCTATGACGCGGTCCCGCGCAGTTTGAAGTTCCGAATTCAAAATCCTTTGCGCGGAAGCCGCGCTGTGGCTTCTCAACCAAACAGCCAATCGACGACGGACGACGACGGAGCGCGACACTAGCGCCTGGAACCATCGGCCGGCCGTTCGGCGAACCGGCTCGTACGACACTGACCACAGACACGTCCCCGCTAGGTGTAAAACGCATCGATCGAAACGGCTAACACGTTTTTTTTTTCCTCAGTGTCAATATTATACAACGATAACTTATTGAGCTCACAGTTCGTTAGTGTCGGAGACACCTTCGAATAAAACGTCAACCATATTCAACCACGCGTCTTGTGTTCATTATTGTCTCACTATTGTTTTTGATTGGTCACCTACCTCAACAAAACCATCCACGTGGCACACCAAAGGTCCGCATCAAATGGCTCGCCAGACAAGAAACACTGTGAGTGAACATTTCTTTTTCCCTCAATTACCCCTTACTACCGCCCATCATATCCCCCCCCCCGTTTGCGCGATTTGGAAAAATAATCCTCAACGCGATCCGACTAAACAAGGTTAACAGGCGATAACGGAAAAACCGGTGTTACGTAACATATTACATAACGATAAATGACGTATTTTACGGACGCACCGCGCGCGACGCTGCAAACACACACGACGTAGGTACTAGGTAGGTAGGAACGCAAGAGCGCGAGGGACACAACACCCATCGCCCGGCACCACCACCCGCCCAACGTATACACGTAATCCCCGGGACACTTATACACGTAATCGGACTGCCGCCGCTCGAAGCGACCGAAGCCGCCGCCTTCCCTAATCGCAGTAGTGCACCGGATAACGCACACACACGCATCCGCGAAAACACTCTGCGAAGACCGGTTACTGTGATCGCCCGGCAAGCGCAACAACAAAACAACAACAACAACAACCCACTGACCTACTTTCTGTACGTAAATAAACACCGATAAGCGGGGACTGCGGGGTCAACACGGCTGATCGAAGGAACGCGACACCCGTCCCGCCGACACCAGCCACATTTTATATTTTCCCGTAAACAACGCCGGAAAAACAACCGGACGTCACGCCGGGAAAATATCATAATGAATTGACCGCCGCGGAATTACGCTACGAATGCAGGCAACGCGGGTTATCGGACGCGGGCGCGAAAGATGATCTCTGTGGGTCCTCAACCAAGCCGCCAATCGACGACGGACGACGCCGGCGCGCGACAACCGCGCCTGGAACCGTCGGCCGGCCGTTCGACGAACCGGTTGCGTACAAGTCAGTTTTTTTTAACGACCCGCACGACACGGACCACACACGTCCCCGCTAGGTGAAAACTATCATCCGATCGAAACGGATAACACGGTTTTTTTTCCTCAGTGTCAATATTAATACAACGATAACTTATTATCGCTCATAATACGTTAGTGTCGGAGACACCTTTGAATAAAAAGTCAACCATAATTCAACCACACTTGTGTTCATTATTGTCTCACTATTGTTTTTGATTGGTTACCTCAACACAACATCCACACGGCACCCCACAGATCCGCATCACCTATTGGTACCATGCGTACTTCAATGTTTATTTGTACCTAGTGCATCACACCTAGTATGTCTATATTATAATATACAATATGAATACTACCTATTATAATATCACAAAAGGTGTGGGTACTTTCAAAACGCGGGGCCTGATGGACATATACACGTTGCTCCGCATAAGCCGAACATGCAGTCTTACAAATGTAAAACAGTTTGATAAGAAACACTCAGGCTGTAATCCAATCTAAGCAACCAATTTTTCACACTATCTATAAAGAGGAGAACATTTAATAGCCATTTTTTTGTTTTTTCGTTATCATGTATAGGTACGCAAAAATTTCTTATTGTTTAGAAATTAATTATTTTTTGTTCTGATATCAAAAAAATTAAAACAATGTAGTACAGTAAATATTCTCCTCCTTATAGTGTGAAAATTTGGTTGCTCGGCTTGGACTGCAGCTTGACCCTCTCAAAACAGTTTTTGCTATGTTATACAATTTTAAGACCAAGACAACAAATGTGGCTGTAGCGTCCTCTTCATCATATTACGAACTATCATTGTCCATCTATTTATTGTTTGTTATAATATAATGAAATATCTAAATTTAAAAATGAATATTATATCAGATAAGTACCTAATAAGTATAGGTACCTATATACAGTATCTTATAAGTATTGTATGCAGTATACCTACTTGAAATTCAATGAAAAACCAATATTGTAAGGAACAGTGTTAGGTAAATTACCATTGAAAAGTAACAAAATTAGAATCCTTAATATTTTATTAGTTATTGTTAATTTAATTATCAGTTATAACTTAGAATATTGCAATATTTATTTTCTAGATACGATGGGTGTCTGTTTTGTATGTGATACAAAATTGTACGGCGAACGGACACGGGTGTGTTCAAGCATTACAAAACATGGTCAATTATCTTACCCAGAAAAAATTGCTGAGCTTTTGGGAGATGATGTTGTGGTTATTGTTACCCCTGCTGATCATATGTGCAAGAAATGTAACTCATGTTTGACTTTCATGGACAAGGCGGAAAATGATCTGAAACTTGTTAAAAGAGCAATTTTGTCATTTATAAAAAAGAAATATGGAATATTGCCTCCTGATCATGTTGTTGAGGATATTAATGTAAGGATAAAACTTAATTAGAAATAAGCTACATTTTATTATTAATTTGTTATATAAAAAAACATATTTTTATCTTTTACTTAGGTTGTTAATGGACACTTAGTAGTAGAGGATCAAGTAGAACAAGGCCAGTGTAATGTGTCTAGTGGTCTGAAAATAGTAGCTTCTCCTACTGTGACTACTGCTGCCCCTGTTATGCCGGTTCAAACTCCATCAAAATTGTTAAAAACACAACAACAGCCACAGCAGCATCAACAACAACAACAACAACCACCAACACAACAAGAAAGCAAAATTAAAATATACAAGTGCGCTTGTTGTGCATTCCAATCAAAAGAGCTTGGGCATGTTCGGTATGTACATTATTTAATATTATTTTAAAGTTATTAATATTTTATCATTTTATTTTAGATTCCACATGCGCACTCATGTGAAAAAAAAGGAGCCAGAAAAACCTATTCTAAAACAAGCAACGGCTAGATACTTAACCCCAGTAAGAATAAGAGAAAATATTTGCTTTTACTATATAAATTTAGTTCCTAATAATATTTATGCAGTTCATATTTTAATTTAGTTATAAACACTTTCTTTATGACTTTTAGACTTCATAACTTTTAATAATAATTTATTTATGTTAATGCTCAGTTAACTACAATCAACTTAAATTGTATTTTGAATCATTGAACCATGTTACAGGGTCAGAACAGTAACAACTACAAATTTTCATTATGAATATCCTATTTGGTTATTCCATAAAATTATAATTTAAAAATATTTTATAATAGTAATAATGTTTTCATTTATTGACTTTTAATTGTAAAAGAATTTCTTTCAATGAAACAATATTTGTTATTAGTTATGTAACTCATTTACTTTTATTATAAAAGCAGATAATAATTTGAGACACAATTTTGATTTGATCTTTCAATTTATATAAATTTAATTATATTAAATCTTTAATTTAATTTAGGAATCAGAACCAAAGAAACGAATTTATAGATGTCAACTATGTTCTAAATCCTTTGATGGTCGAATGGAATGCATTGATCACATTAAGCAAAATCATAATCAGTCAGCTCCATCCACCTCAAATGCAGTAAGTAAATAATTCATATTTTAACAAATCTTCATGCCATAATTATTTTAATTTACTTATAGGAAAAAGGAATTGAAGATTCTCGTCCAGTTATATCTATATTAAAGAAACCAAAACCACCCAAGACTCAAGAAAATAATCAACAAGCGGAGTCTTCTGTAGACAAAAATTTACAGGATGACAACAAAGACACTATTGACACAGATAAGATGTTAAATGACTGTGTCCTCACTGAAGGATCTGTAGATGTTGAACAAAAAGAAAAAACTAAAAACTCTCAAGAAGATATGACTCTAAAAGAAGAAAAATCGGAAATAAAACCTGATCTTACACATGAAAAAGCCATAGAAGAAGAAGAAGAAGATACAGCCATGCTTGGACAAGAAGAAGAAGATCAAGAAACTCCTGACAGTGTTAAGATAGAATATGTTGAAGAAAATGAAAATGTGAAAACCAAAACGCAAGACTCGGACATAGACACAATATTAGCCGAAATCTATAATGATAATCCTAATAACAATGAGGATACACAAAACAAAGATTAAGACCTATACAACTTAAGTTAGTTATTTCATATTTATAAGCCCCATTTACATGATCAAAAATTCATTTTTCCCTTAAGGTTTTTTTATCAATAATATAAGAGGCATAATTTATTAGGCTATATTATTTATCATATTATTAGAAATGAAACCAATATATTTTTTTTTTTTTTATAAATTATTTAAAGAAGGAGTAAATTTAAAAACAACTCTAAAAAAGTTTGATACATATTGAAATACAAACACTTCTATAAAATGTACTACTTAAACTATACAATAACTGATGATAGGTTTTAATCAGATTAGCATAATGCAATAATGCTTAAAAATAAAAAATTACCAAATAACTAACTTCATCAAAGTACTAAAGTAAATCAATAATTAGGTTAAATTTATTTACAGTATAAAATAAAAAATGAAATTCTATCAGTACTGTTTATATATATTTAGTTATTAGGACCTAGTTATTTTTAATTTTGTTCATTATTTGTAAGCTGTTACATCTTAAATGTAATATCAATTACAATATTCAAATCATGACTCCAAAAATTCTCAAAAATGAATTATAAGGCCAGTTCCAAGGAATAATTATATCATTTATATCATTATAGTTTAATTTTTTTAGTATTCTAATTTTAAACTAATTTTAAGCTGGTTATTAATTTATAGTTAGTTATTTTAAAAACAAGTATAAAATATATTTTAAAAATTAATATTATATCAGATAAGTAATAAGTAAAGGTACCTACTATATACAGTAGGTATCTTATAAGTATTGTATGCAGTAGGTATATACCTACTTGAAATTCAATGAAAAACCAATATTGTAAAGAACAGTGTTACGTAAATTACCATTGAAAAGTAACAAAATGACAATAGATACTCGTTATTTCAAATATTTTAATAACCGTATTGACTATGTCAAATCTACCAATTATACATGCGTGCATCAGTAACAGTATTTCAGTTATAAAAATATGTCAAATAATATTTTTAATTATTATTATCTTACCCTAGGTATACCTATGTACCTAGTTTACTTATAAGTCATAATTTATTTTATTTTTACAATTCCTGGAAAATTAATAATACTGTTGATTATGATTTAAAACCATGTAAAAAACTTTTGAAATCAAAAATTAAAATATTTGATTTTTACTTTAATTTTCAAATATCCTATAGGATATAGGTATCATTTTTGTTTGTTATTTAGTATGATGATTGATTTAGATTGTATGGTTGAACATTGATGGTTAATAACTATTATAAAGTACAATGTATATAGTATATTTTAGTTCTAATAGTATTCTTAATATTCTATTAGTGATTGTTAATTTAATTATCAGTTATAACTTAGAATATTACAATATTTATTTTCTAGATACGATGGGTGTCTGTTTTATATGTGATCAAAAATTGTACGGTAAACGTACACGGGTGTGTTCAAGCATTACAACACATAGTAATTTATTGCAAATTAAGTGTTATTTATTTATTATGATAAAGCTTTGTAGGGTAAACAGTTGGTTAACTAACATAGACAACATATGTGTGTAGTTATATTGTATAATGTATTATGTGCCAAGTTCAGGTAATTTCTAATTTATAGACTTTAACGATACTAAATGAAACTTTGAGATATGCTTTTAATAAATTTATGTTAAAATAAGCTATTAAATGTTTATTAAAATACAACTTATAACAGTTGTAGGGTTCTAAGTATTAGGCTTAAATCATAATATCAGTTCAAGTGCAGATATATAATTCGGAGGCAATTTATTAACAAAGATTTTAGGTACAATACATAATTTATGCATGATGTACTTACAGTATCATATTTTAGGTACCTATTTTAGATTCTGATTGGAGCAATGATTGTAATAATTTTACAATTATGTGTTTTTAATTATTTTATTTTATTTTTGTCTCATCACATTTTGGTGCAGCAAAAATGCTTAACAGGTTTTCTACTTCAGCATAGTTGCTGGTAATAAAAAGAATCTAGTTAATACTGTGGATTGTCAAAAGTAAAAAAATCCCAGAGCTTTTCAAAAACATCAAGAAAAATAAACCAATAAATTAAGGAAAACTAAGATTTTTACATAAAACCAGTTTTAGAAAAAATCATTTTTATGTTTTGGTGTAACTCTAAAAAAAATAAATTTTTTAATAACCCACTTTGTATATTATATTTATATGTAATTATACAATAGTAAGCGATAATTATTATTTTAATTTTTAAATATAAAGATTGTATAGTAGGTGTTCAGTAAGAAAATATGTGGACATATTATTCACTATTGTATTATATAAAGCATGTTATAAGCAAAGAGCAAATAACAATATAGGTCAGTATTTACTTTTAAGGTAATTTTATATCTGCTGCCTATACCAATACATACTCAAACAGCAAACAAGTCACTTGTTTACATTTAAAATATTCTAGTTTTACAAAATTGTAATGAGTATCAAGCACCGTTTGAATAATATTGAGATAATAGGCTCTATATATTACACTATAATAGATGATCCTGTAAATTCTTATTACACATAATAATTAGCAATTGCCATTATTTGGGGGTACTTAACTTTTTATTTTTACCATAAAAATACATATATATATATATACTATCAAACCTTTCATCATTAAATGCAATACTAATAATGCATATAGCAATATTGTATTATAATTTATAACATAGGCACATGACCATATACATAGGCATATGACCATCATATAAGGTAATGGTTTCTAAATTATGAAGGTGTGAACAAAATATATTATTTTATATTTTGTGTTGTAGGTATATATTATCATTAAGTCTTTGCTATTATAATTTATCATGTAGGTACCTACAAAATATTAATGGGAATTGCATATGTCACACGGTATATTGGTAATCTCATTACCAGATACCATTTAAAAAAAAAAAAAAAATTTTACCAAATTACTAAATTTTTTTAGTAATAATTTTTACCTGATTACTAAATTGTTCAATTATAATTTTTTACCTACTTAATTTTTTTAGCAAAAAATTTAATGATTTTCAAAATATGAAAAAGAACAACATTTTTGAGAAACTTGTCAGCCAAGTGCCAACCTCCTAGTGGTGTTTCTGGGGTTAGGCTAATAGGCTGAATATTTGACTAAATATTGAAAATAATATATTATAATGACCCGGGAATCAACTCGTAGGCAGCCGACAAATTTGTCATGATAATATCAGCTATAGTTTTTATCTTATCTAAGCAGTGAGCACAGCAATGAACTATATAATATTATATAGTTCAGTGGAGCAAAGTGGAAATGTGTAATCACTGTAATCACATAATCATCACAACAACCGTGTCTAAATAAACTTTATATTTTAGGCAGTGTTAACATACTAGCTATTTTACAGCTAGTTCTAACATTTTTCAGGTGTCATCTAGCTTTCAAAAATGTCATTATGCAGGTGGCATTAAATATAGCATTTATAATGTGTTTAAAGCATTTCAGAATATTTTTTTTTTTGTTTACCAAAAACCACTGATATCACATCTTTCTGCTATCACATTTCTGATTTTTTCAATTGATTGTTCATTATTTGATATTTGAATAATTTCGTTTTGAAATTAGTCAAGATAGACTGACTGGATTATTATTTATTTATCTAATAAAAATGATAGTATTTATATATTATTATATCTGTTTTTAATTATTTTAATTGCATGCAAATGGTAATTTCAACTATTTCTATAACGGTGCCAATTTCCTAACAAATTATATAATTTGTACTTTATCATAATTTTTTTGATTTGTAAATTATAACACTGAGCTTGTGCAATTTTTTCTCTTTTTTAGCTTCTTCTAGCATATTTGGAAGGGGAAAAATAAATAGCATAAACTAACTTTTTTTTGATAATATGGTATTTGCATATTTTAGGTTTTATTTTATGGCAACACTGATTTTAGGCAGACAACAACAACATTTTTGTTGTGGTTCTCGTCGTTAGACATTATAATTTTACTATTGACCCCCCAAAGTACCAACTAGAATCCTTTTTTCATCAGAAAAGATACTGTTGAAGAACATATGAGCATTTTTGCTGTCATAATAGGTGATGAGAGATACACAAAAGATACAAAAAAAAACTATAATAGACTATATCAGTGGTGTTCTACAGATTCTGACATTTTTTACATTACTTTTTCAATGTTCAGTGACTAATATATGTATGTAAACTGTTTTGTGATATATATTATACATTGTTCAATATATTATACAATTTAAAAACTTATATAAATATTGTTTTATTTTACGGCTATGTTACCCAAAAATCTTATAAAATATTAAATGTTATATATATAATTATTTATTATTTACTAAAATATTTTTACTTTTTTGAGATGTTGATCATGGTTAGCGTAAAATTCTAAATTACACTTCAGTAAACGTGGTGTGTGAAGAAAATTATTATTGAATTAACCAATAGCGTTACACAGTTTATTATTAAAATAATTATTTGTTATATGTAAGATAGGTACCTAATTTAAGTTTGATAAGTTATCATAAAATTACTATATATTATTAAGTTGTTAATAGAATTTTTTTTTTATAATTTTAATTGGCCTGCCCTAATATAAGTGTCTAGTTTTGTCTATGCATATCAGTTTTGGTCTTTGCACATAAATTGCGACACACAAATAATAGACAAATATCATATTTTTCCACCACTTTAAATATACGATTTATAAACTATTAAAATGAATAATTAAACAATTTTTTCACTTGGCCCCCTAGTTTTATTAAATTAGGCCCTGCATTCGGGAGGTCAAAATTAAATAGTTTTCAATAGTTCCGGAAAAAAACAACATAAATATTAAAGGAAAACGAGAATATTTACGTAAACTCGACGAAATCGAATTTTGGTTTTTAGTGTAACTCTAAAGTAAATGAACTTATAAACACGGAATTTTTACTGGTTGTTTATATTCGCATTTTCTATACAAGATAACATTT